AAATTCCAGCAGGACTTTTTGTAAAAATGTACAGTGTAATTCTGAAAGTGATATGGAAAAGCAAAGTACCCAGAATAACCAAGACAACTTTGAAAAAGAAGAAAGTTGGAGGACCTACCCTTTGTTCAAGACTTACTATAAAGTTACAGAAATTTAGACAGTATGTTACAGGGATAGTATATGGATCAATGAAGCGTGATAGATAACCCAGAAAGACCACGTATTAGAACAAAAGATGCTCCTGGTGCTCTCATCACTTAGGAAATGACAAGGCTTGTGGGAGCTCTGTGCCAGGAACTGGGTGCAGAGACCAACATATATTTTTTTTCTATTTCCCACTCTTTCATTATGAACTTTCTCCATCAGTGATATATTTGTTACAGTTGATAAACCTGCGTTGACATCATTCTAATATATCATAATCACCCAATGTCCAAAGTTTATATTATGGTTCACTCCTATACATTCTACGGACAAATGTAAATGATATGTATCCATCATTATGGTATCATGTAATTTCTTTAGCAGATACAGGCCTATTCAGATTGTATATTCTTATATGAGTTTTGGCAAATTGTGTCTTTCAAGGAATTGGACCGTGTCATCTAGGTCATCTTTGTGGGCATAGAGTTGTAATATGTGCAGTAGTCCCCTTTACACACAGTTCACCTTCTGTGATTTCAGTCACCTGTAGTCAAGCAACTAGGATTCATACTTGATAGTGGGAATGCAAACTTTGGAAGTGTGGTAGTTTCTTATAAAAGTTAGCTATTCACTTGCCACATGACTCAGCAGGCCACTCCTAGATATTTACCAAAAACAGTGAAAACAAGTCCACATGAAGACATGTCCAAGTGTTCATGAGATCTTTATTCATAATGGTCAAAAACTGGAAGCAACCCAGATGTCTACATACCTCCATGTGACGGGTATTACTCTGCAATAAGAAGGAAGAAACTTCCTTGGACGAATCTCAAAAGCATTATGCCAAGTGAAAGAAGCAAGATAGAAAAGACTGTATGCTGTGTGATTTCCATTTCTAGAGAAGGCAAAGCTACCAGGACAGAAATCATGTCAGCTCAGTGGTTGCCAGGGGCTGTGGGAGGGGGTAGAGGATTAACTGCAGAGAGACCAGAGGAAACTTTGGGGTGATGGAAATGTCCTATATCTCTGCTGTAATAGCAGTTACATAAATAGATACATTTGTCAGAATTCAGCGTATTTTTTTGAAGAGTGAATATTAACCAGAAAAAAAAAAAATTAAGAAACCGGGTAATCTCTATATGTTAATTTGTACAATCCAAAGTAGATGAATGTAAATTGTAGTTAAAAACATACACACATAAGTGGAAATTTAATAACTGTCATTAACAATTTTTGCCTCAAGTTTTTTTTTTCCTCCCAACCACATAAATGTGTCTGTTGGTAAGGACACCATTAGATATTTTCAATAATCCATATGTCATTTTCAAAATATAGTTCTCTAGCATGGTAAGGGAGACTACCTTAGGTAGTTTTTTGGCCAGGGTGGTCATGTAATATCAATAAACTTAACAGACTATCCAGAAAAAAGTGCTAAAAATTCTAAAGCCAAAACACATGTCTTCAGAAGGTCACATAGTACAATAAAAAGGTAGCAATGCTATGGCATGGTTTGTTTGTTTGGATTCAAATGTTACCCGCTACTGAACTCATCCATGTAGATGTCCCTCAGCACCATGTCCCAAAGCAAGATGATCTCTGCCCCTCCATGATTTTTTGTTCCTGTTTTCCTCCAAAACTCTTGTTCTTCTGTTTCCTTATTCTAGAAATAATGTCACCAACATCTGTGTGGTTTCCCCAGACTGGAAACACAGGTGTCATCTTTGGTTCTTGTAACTTTTCCCCATTGTTCTGGATTGATTTCTGAAATATTTTAAATAATAAGGAGATTAGCTCTTCTCAATCTTATGTATGTGAATGTTTCCCAGTTTATAGTTTACCTTTGTGTGTAGTATTTCTGTGTGTATAGTAGAGCTGTTTAAAAATTTTATGTGTTCAGATTTATCAGTTGTAGGTTTCTGTGTATTCAGATATATCAGTAATTTTCTTTATGGTGTCTGGGTTCCATATCAAGTGTAGAAATACTTGGGCCATTTTATTCAGGAAACATGATCATAGTGCTCACTAACATTTTTTAACTTTGTTGCTATGTCCTGCTCCCTGAATTTCCCTGGCTCTCTTATTCAGGCCCTTCTTTATATTCCTGCTGACACTGGCTAACTTCAAGCCCCTAAAGAACTACCACAGTCTCCTAATTGGTCTGCCGCCTGCCACACATTTCTAGGCTCTCCAGGTCACTCTCTCTAGAATGACCATCCCCCACACAGAAGCCGAAGTGTGCCACTCCCCAGCTCATTAATGCCAGCCTGCTTGGTATGGCTTTCAAGGTACCCTGTACAGCGTGATTGACAGCCAGCCTCTCTGCTCTCGACCCTCTGTGGTTGCTGTGAGCGTCCCCGGTGCTCTGGTGCCTGTGGCAGTGTGTTTCCTCTGCAGTCAGTGCCTCTCCTCCCCGCTCACCGGGGAGCTCGCTCTGTCCTCCAGAGCTGTTACAGGCTGTCTGCTGGTGATGTTTCTCCTGATTCCTCAGCCTGCTCCTCCCCCACCTCTGCGTGCGCGTGTGCGTGTGTCTGCCCGCCTGCCTGCCACAGTACTCATTCATTCTTTGGGGTAGAGTTGCTGAATTACGTATTCCTCTCCAGCTGTTTTATAATAAGTTCCCCAGAGCAGGAATCTTACCAGTGTCCTTAGTAGGGCTGATACAGTGTGTATGCAATAAAATACTCAGTGAGCCAGGCTGGTGTGGCTCAGTGGTTGAGCGTCGACTCATGCACCAAGAGGTCACAGGTTCAATTCCGGGTCAGGGCACATGCCCAGGTTGCTGGCCAAGTTGGGGGCAGGCAGGAGGTGACCAGTCAATGTTCTTTCTCATCGATGTTTCTACCTCTCTGTCCCTCTCCCTTCCTCTCTCTCTAAAAAAATCAATAAAGAAAAAAATTATAAAAATAAAAAAATGGCCCTGGCCAGTTTGGTTCAGCAGTTAGAGCGTCGGCCTGCAGTCCTGAGAGACCCGGGTTTGGTTCCCGTAAGGGTGCGTACCTCGGTTGCAGTTTGTCCCTGGCCCTGGTCGGTTGTGCGGGTGGCAGCCACTCGATGTGTTCCTTTCACATCTATGTTTCTCTCTCTCTCTGTTCCTCTCTCTCCCTCCCACTCTACCTGAACAAAAAATGGAAAAATGTCCTCGGGGGAGGATGAAAATAAATAAATAAAAAATAAAAATAAAAAAATGTACCCACTTCTTAGCTTAATAGAACCTCACCAATATCTGTGTGTGTCTACCTAACTACATAACCTTCCCTATACTTCCACCCCTTGCTGATTAGCACTATCCCAAATTTTATATTAATGATTTCTCTTGTAGTTTCACTACATATTTGTGTCTCTGAATGGTGGTATTTAGTATTGTCTGTTTTTAAAATGCTGTTTAGGTGCATTCATACTGTGCATATTCTTTTGACTTTTTTCCTTCAACATTACTTGTTGGAGATAAACTCATGTTGTGTGAGCTAGAATTCATTCATTTTCAATGTTGTATGGGACTTCATTGTATAACAATATTTTATTTTTACATGTTATTCTGAGTGGGCGTTTGGGTGGCTTACGTTGACGTCTGTTGTGAACGGCGCTGCTGTGTGCATTCTTGCTGACACCCCATGCAGAGGTTCCTGGAGAGCACAGCACAGAGCTGGGGTCAGTGTGTGCCTTTGTCCAGGGTCAGTGCGCAGGTGAAACTGTTGTGCACAGTGCCTGCACCACTGTGCCTCCGCCATCCAAGGGGAGTGCCCTTGGCCCAGTCTTCCTCGAGGCTTGGTGTTGTCCACGTTTTTCATTTACCACCTACTGGTATCCCCTGGTTTTAATTTTTATTTTCCTGGTTTCCAATGTGGTTGCTCATCTTTCCATGTTTATTGCCATTTATGTTTCATCTTGTGTGAAATGCCTATTTTTCCCTTTAGCCCACTTGTCTCGGCACCATCTAGTTAATGGACCTTTGTTTCCTCACTGGTCTGTGGTGCCTGCGTTGTCACAAACCAAGTCTCCATATGTGGGCAGAGGAACGGATGGCTGTGTTCTAGCCCTTCGGTATGTGTGTCCGTCCTGGGGCAGTACCACACCATCGTCATAATCAGTCGTGGTATCTAGGTCCTTTTCCTCTTCTTCGCTTGTGTGATTAGTACCGTACCATTTATTATTTAGGGGGGGAAAATGATTATGTAAAGGGGTGGTCTTATTACTAGGCCAGCTTTTATTTTTTCATTTACAAGTTTTAAAGTTGATTACCCACTTACCCCTTCTTCAAAGACAAAACAGAATTTTTTCTTTGACATTTACAATATTTTTTGCCTTTTGAGATAGTCACAAACCTATCATTGTTTTGTTTACAGTACAATACTTGAACACTCATTTTGTTCTTTCTCTTCATCCCATCCTTAAGAATAGAATCCAAAAGTTTTACAATTAAAAAAAAATGTGTTTCTGCCCTGGCTGGTGGGGCCCAGTGGGTGGCGTGTCCTCCCTTGCACCTAGGTCACAGGTTCCACTCCCAGTCGGGACACATGCCCAGGTAGGCGGCTCCATCTCGTGGGGAGGCAGCCGATCGATGTTTCTCTCTTACCCTCTCCCTTCCTCTCTCTCTGGAAAAGCAATAAAAACATTTTTTTTTAATGTATTGCTTTATTTGCTTACTTCTTGGCAGCCAAACATGTAAATTTGATTTTCCTGACGTCTGCAAGTGCACTGTAATGGCACAGCTCTGGTCCCGAGGCCTGACCCCTCGGTCTCAGGGAGCGCTCTCGGTGTTCTGGATTCCTTGCTGCTCAGCACTTGCCTTTGCTGCTGGAGGCGAGTCTCTCTGTCTCCAAGTAACTTGTTTTCGTGTCTGTCGCTTTCCCTGGCAGCTGCTGCCTGTGAGTTCTTGGACATCGTGGAGCTGCTGCTCCAGGCCGGCGCGAACCCCACTCTGCGTGACCAGGACGGCTGCCTGCCAGAGGAGGTGACAGGTTGCAGAGCCGTGTCTTCGGTGTTGCAGCAGCACACGGCTGGCAAGGCTTAAGCAAAGGACTGGGAAGCCACAGCCTAACAGCACAGGGCTTCGGTGATGCAAGGAACCTGGGGAAATCGTACTACTTTTACCACCCACCTTTGGTGTACGCTGGCTAATAAAATCAGGTCTGCGTCACAGGGATTTTGAAGTCTCAGCAGTTCATTCTACTTGCACATTCCGGCGAGTACAGTTTCAGCGATGAACATGTGTACTGTGCATAATACAATCCAATTCTGCTGAGCATGCCCTGAAATTTATCCCTGTTCCCAGCGGTGGGGAGAGGAGGAGACACATCGTAGTTCACGTACCACAGCTGCTCTTTTAAGAAAAGACAGAAGCAAAACATGACTGAAAGTTCTAACTGACGCTGAGGGGGGGGGTTCATAAAACCCCAGGGTGGGGGGGCTTGTGTGACCTGTGCACAGCAGGTCTGAGTAGGGAGCTAAAATGTCTAGCCTCCTGGCAGACAGAATTGGGAAGACAGGAAAGAAGAGGGGTGTTGAGAGCAAAAGAAAGGACTGAATTTTGTCACATCGGGATATAAGAGTCATAGGAAGAACCAGATTTCCTGAAAACCTCGAAACCTTGGGCATTTTAGAGTAAGAATTAGTGACTTCACTCTAGGCTTGAAACACGGGTTCTGGAGAATTCACGGGTTGGGTCAGGATACCTTAAGCACACCTTCACATAATGGAGGACCCTCCCTCGGGCCCTTCTCACCAGCCACCCTGTCCCTGCCAGTGGCCGCAGCCGCTGCTCCGAGCTCAGCCTGAACTGGGAGGCCTGCTTGGGTCCCACGTGGGACAGCCACAATGCCCTGGTACTCGGGTGTGACTCCAGGGGTTTCTGGATACCAGGAGAGCATCTGTTTTCACTAAGAGGTAGGCAGGTACGCCACTGATGAGATATTTTCTCCTTGAAGCCCAGAGCACTCCACCTGGGGGGATTCCTGGCCATGTCTTATCAGGGAAGTAGACAGTTGTCATGTGAAGGGCAATGAAGTAGGAAACCGGTCGAGATGCAAAGGTGCCCACTTAGAAAATATCTTCTCTAATTTGTCACTGTTTAGATAACAAGCAATAAACTTGCTTAGCAGAGCCCTCAGCAGTAGACAGGATTTTCAGGAGGTCGCTAACCTGTTCTGAAACAAGCCCCTTCAGGGCAGAAATGAGACATACTAATCCGCTTGCGTGGTGACTGTTCTAAGCTAACATCTCGTTCTCTGAGATGTAAGCCAAGCCATTCCCAAGACTTCCGTCTTCAGTAGTTACCTGTGGCAGTGCCGGCGCGCCTCAGCCGTGCTGAAGTGACGCAGGCATGCTGGTGGGGCTGCCTCTTGCTTCTGGGCGCTTCTCCCTCCATCCAGCTGCACTGCAACCTGCTGTTCAGCTAAACGCGCACATGCTCCACGTTAAGTGATGTTTTAAGAAACATTCATTAGTTACAGTAGACGTGACCAAGTGTTGCATGCAGTTTTCTGTTCGTTTTTATTTTTTAGTATTGCCATTATTGCAGCGGTTCCCCTTCGCTCACCTCCCCCTCCCCCACCTCCCCCTTCCTTGGCCTTTACGAAATAATTTTCTGTGTTCGTGGGTTATGCATATATGTTCTTTCTTTTTTTTTTTAATCATCACCTGAGGATATTTTTTCATTTATCTTCAAACAGAGTAGGAAGGAGGGAGGGAGGGAGGGAGGGAGGGAGGGGGAGAGAGAGAGAGAGAGAGGGAGAGAGAGAGAGAGAGAGAGAAAGAGAGAAACAAACATCAACATGAGAGAAACACATCAATTGGTTGCATCCCACACGACCCTGACCAGGGCCAGAGACCAAACCACAACTGAGGTATGTGCCCTTGACCAGAATCAAACCCACGACTCTTTGGTCCATGGGCCAACACTCTAATCACTGAGCCAAACTGGCCAGTGCTGCATATATGTTCTTTAGCTATTCCCTTCGTCTTCTTTAACCAGTCACCCCACCCCCCCAAACAATGGGGCACTGTCCAGTCTGTTCCATGTTTCCTGTGTCTAATTCCATTTTATTTGTCAGTTAATTTTGTTCATTAGATTCCATATATTAGTGAACTCATGTGGTATTTGTCTTTCTCTGACTGGCTTATTTCATTTATCATAATACTCTCCAGTTCCATTCATGCTGTCACAAAAGGTAAGACTTCCTTCTTTTTTAGAGTTGCATAGTATTCCTTTGTGTAGATGTACCACGACTTTTTTATCCACTCATCTGCTGATGGGCACTTGGGCTGTTTCCAGATCTTAGGTATTATAAAAAATGCTGCTGTGAACATTGGGATGCATATATTCTTTTTTATTAGTATTTCAGGATTTTTAGGATATATTCCCAGAATTGGGATTGCTGGGTCAAAAGGCAGTTCCATTTTTAATTTTTTGAGGAAACTCCATACTGTTTTCCATAGTGGCTGCACCAGTCTGCATTCCCACCAGCAGTGCACAAGGGTTTCCTTTTCTCCACACCCTAACCAGCACTTTTTTGTTGATTTATTGATGGTGGCCATTCTAGCAGTTATGACATGTAGTTTTTATTGGTATCTCTCTGATAATTAGAGACCTTGAGCATTTTTCCATGTCTGTTGACCATCCGTATGTCCTCTTTGGAAAAGTGTCTATTCAGGTCCTTCACCCATTTTTCATTGGATTGTTTGTCTTCCTGGCATTGAGTTGTATCTTTATATATTTTGGAAATTAACCCCTTATTGGATGTATCATTGGCAAATATATTCTCCCATACAGTGGGTTCTCTTATTATTTTGTTGATGGTTTCTTTTGTTGTGCAGAAGCTTTTTAGCTGTATGTAGTCCCATTTGTTTATCTTTCCTGAGTTTCCCTTGTCCTCGGAAATATGTCAACAACAAAAAGAGAAGTCTGAGAATTTTTTTTTTTATCATCACCTGAGAACACTTTTTTTGTTTTGTTCAGATAGAGAGGGAGGGAGGGAGGGAGGGAGAGAGAGAGAGAGAGAGAGAGAGAGAAACATCGACGTAAAAGAGACACATCAAATGGCTGCCATTCACACAACCCAACCAGGGTACATGCCCTTAGCGGGAACCGGGCCACAGGCCAACGCTCCAACCACTGAGCCAAACCGGCCAGGGCGAGAGGTCTGAGATTTTATTGACTGTGTTTTCTTCTAGGATTTTTTTGGTTTTGCAACTTACATCTAAGTCTTTTATCCATTTTGAGATCAGTCTTGTGATTGGTGTAAGTTGGTGGTCTAGTTTCATTTTTTTTTGCATGTGCCCGTCCAATTTTCCCAAAACCATTTATTGAAGAGACTGTCTTTATTTACTGGTATGTTCTTGCCACCTTTGTCAAGTATTAATTGACCATGTGCCCTGGCCAGTTTGGCTCAGGGGTTAGAGTGTCGGCCCACAGACAGAAGAGTCGCGGGTTCGATTCGAGTCAAGGGCAAATATCTGGGTTGCAGTTCTGTCGGTCCCCGACCTCGGTTGGGGTCATGTGAGAGGCAGCCAATCGATGTGTCTCTCTTGCATCGATGTTTCTTCTCTCTTTCCCCCTTCCACTCTATCTGAAGATATGTAGAAAAAGTGTCCTCTGGTGGGGATACAAAATAATAATAAAATATTAATTGACCATAGGGGTGTGGTTGATTTCCGGGCCCTCGTTGTGTTCCATTGTTCTATATGCCAGTGCCAGACCGTTTTGATTACAAGGATCTTGTGTTGTTCACAGGGGTCTATGGGTTCCATCTAGAATCTTTTTTCTGGCTCCTTGTTAGAGTATTTCAAGAATGAGAATTCTTTTGTTGACTGACTCAGTTTCCATGGCTTTAAGAGCTCCTACTGGATGATGTATGGGGTGTTGCCTTGAACGAGGAAGACTGAGGCGTGAACAGGTCGCTCCAGGTGCCCGAGGCCAGAGGACAGCAGTAGAGCCGGAACCCAGTCTGCTGGATCGCGGTCCTTTCTCGTCGAGCACACAGCTCCTGCGAGGTGTCAACGCTCTTCCACCAGCACGTCTTGGGAGTTTGTCAGACGACAGGCACTGTGCTCGGCCACTGCCATTCCTTGTCAGATCACCATGTGCATTTAGAACTACTCGTGTTATTTCAAGATATTGCCTGAGATATCTTGAAAAGTCTCATAGAAATTCATAAGTTGCTAATCAAAAACTCACTAAATCTTTGAAACCTACTTTAACTGTGTCTCTAATAAAGATGTAAGAAGTCAGCCAACTGGCCACGTATTGTTATCTCTTATGCTTGTCAGGTAGAAGGGTAACAACCAACGTATAATATCTGGAAGCATATCTATTATATCTTTTTTTAATGTTTCAGCATTTTCCAGCTAAAAGGTTGCTATAATCCAGTGAACCTTTCTATTAAATAGGTATTTCTTAGCTTCCTGCCAGGTCTAACTACTTGGCTATGGGTTATTATTCCGTGTACAGTGTGGCATCTCTGAGGATTAATGAACAAGGCGTGGGACTGGAGCAGAGCTGAGCGTGGGTTGCAGGAGGGGTCCGTGCCCGGGCTAATATACGCTTCAGCTGAAACATGAAGGCTTTCATCAAACTTCAAGTCTCTAAAAGATCCCTTTATAAATAAATGTTTATCACAGAATAGATATGTAACCCACCAGCCACAATTTAGTAATGAAAATATCGAGTTTAAATATTTATGAGTGAATTTCAAATTCCAATTCCTATGGTGTTTGGGTCAAATGCTTTAATAGAATTTATAATACTATATTTGATCAATTCTAAGGCACACATTTTTTTTTCACATTTTAATGTATCCAGAATTGGTTCTTTTACAAGCAATGGCATGTTATAGTTGAAGTGACAGCATCTCCTTTCTTAGTGATACATAAGCCAATGTGTCTTACAGTCAATGACATGGCAGTAATTGCACCTTTTATGCAGAACTTTATACACAAGTATCTTAATTAAACCTCACAATATTGTTAAAGTAGAAATAATTGAAATTTTCTGTTTTGCAAGTGAGGATATTGAAACTCAGAACTGGCAGGGAAATTGTTCAAGGTCCTATAAATAGAAACAGTAAAAATGCCCAGCTTTATATAGACTTTTATATAGAATCAAGGTGATCACCCAAACCTTGAGATACCCAGTCCAGAAGTTTTACACCA